CCCCCCCCCCCCCCCCCCCCCCCCACACACACACACACACAAACAAAGTAATTACAGTACAGATCACAAAATCCACAGTAATCTCCTCCATGTTTTTGTTGCACTTCAACATCAATGATCGAAACACGAAAACGGCTTAACGCTGACCGAGCTCTGTTGTTCCTCTTCAATCTGAAGCGTTAATCTGTAAATTGGTGGGACATCCTTAAATGACTGTCTGGTGTGGTGGAAGGTTTAAGCTGTTAAAAGACCCTGTGGAGTAACTAAACCACTATGAAGAGGTAATCCTGTAAAACTAGGGAGCAAATCGTAGTTTCATCCATAAAAACATCCTGCATGTTGAAATGTGAGATTAAATTTAATTACATTTTGTCTAAATTTATAGTTATGTAAAATTATGTAAATTATTTAAATGGATGTTGTTAAAATAGAAAATTTGTCAAAATAGAAAAAAAGCTAGATGTGGCGCATTGGTGAACTCAGCTAGAACTACCCAGTAGATATACGGGTAATATCTCGACTTTGATTCATATTATGATTAAATTAACACCAAGTAAAAGACAGAACTGGCTAAATATAAAATATGTAACATTCAATCAAATGTCAAATGATTCTACTTTACTTACGAATGTTTCCATATCACAAAACTTACAGTTAAACTCAAAGTCTTTGTTTTTCCAACTACAATATAAATGATCTCAAACAAATTTACCCATTTTTGTTTTGTTTTTTGAAGTTTCAAAATTAACTTATGTTAACAAAATGTTTTTAGTTAGTGTAATCTAAAAAATTAAGTGTATTAATTAATTTATTCATCTTTAGAACAAATGAGAAATTCTTAAAATCACACAGTAATTAAAATAACTGGAGAAGGTTAATGCATTTTGTTGATTGGTTTTAAGGGATGATGGGCAACAGAACAATTCAACTTTGCTGTCAATCAAGCCTATTGTAAGTAATCTGATTACCGTATTTTCTGGTGTATAAGTCACTATTTTTTGCATAGATTTGTCAGACCTGCAACTTATATGCCGGAAAATACGGTACTACACATCTTATAGATTATACATCTATAAAACCCTCGATGTTTCTCCTTCAGTGTGAACGGTAAGAAATCATAAATACTCACCGGTTGGGTTTGTAGCCTGCACTGTCCCCACAGACGTCCCAACAGGTGCGTCTTCAGGTACTGTGAAGGTGTAGCGTAACCTCTGGAACACAGCTGGAGCCTGAGAGCTCTGTAAAACGTTAACGGTGACCTCTGCAGGTCTGGGTGAGGTCAAGCCCTCCTCATCCTGTGCGGTGATGAAGAGCTTCATGCTGGCTGCACCCAGGTGGGTCAGAGAGGAGTTCAGGAAGAGAGTTCCTATGAAAAAGAAAATCACTTACTTTACAAGCCGGGTTTGATATTATGCCACTGTAAATTCAAAATTTACAATTTTAGACAGTCATTTGAATAAACAAATTGAAAACACAATAAAAATACGGGACCCAAAAAGATAAAAAGACTGCACAAGAGCAGCAAGATGGCCGTTTAGCTCTTACTATTTTAAATTTTTACTTGTATTTTTATATAAGAACTCAAATGCATAAGTATTTACAAAAAATAACACACTGGTTCAAATAAAAAAGCAACTTCAGCGAGTATTCAGAGATTTTTTTTGGTTGGGTTCTGTGGAAAGATTAAGAACAACAATATCTTACCTGTTGTAGATAACTGTTTGAATAACAGTTTGGGGGATCAGAGTTCAATTCTGAATGGATCACCAGCTAAGGATTGTTGTTGTCTTCAACAACACCATGTGAAGGCTGTTTTATAAATCTTTACATGGCCATCTAGTTTGGATAACGCAGTTCTTTTCACATGTAATTAATAAATGTCAAAAATAATAAAATTTTTCCCATTATGTCTCATATCTCATATTTATATAATATATCTAATATCTTTTTAACATAATATTTTTTTTACATTTGGAGTTGCTTTAAATTGGCAGCAATCCATTTTTATCTTGGCTGTTAGCTCGTCATTCCTGTCAGAATAAAACTTTATTTAAGGTTATTCAAAACGCTATCAACAACAAGTAAGAAATTAACCATCCCTAAGAATGTGGCTGATTTTCTAAAATTTCTTTGCAAGCTCAAAATTGTCCAGATAAGTGTTACCTTATTTAAACTGGATAAAAGCATTTTCACGTACATACAGAATAATGTTTAAAACTGATAAAAGTTAAACTACATTACTTTATTTAATTTATTTTAGATTTTTATTTAATGTTACTGTGCGGCTATGCGTAAATCTCAAAAGCTTTTAAGCTTTGTGCTCAGCCCCTGCTGAGCGGTGGCAATGGTGATCATATCACGATGACTTAAATAAATGAACGAACTGTTAATCCCTGCAAACAACAGCTGCCACTCACACAAGTTGCTTAAAGATTAGTGGTGGAGTTTATGTGACAAATCAAGCTTGAAAAGTCAATTAAACACAAGTGTAGAGCAAAAAAAGACCTTTCAATACTTAGTGTGAACCTTTCAATATGGACTAACAGGATGTTCGGCGTGTAATGGTAAATAAGATGTCTTTTACCAGTTTGTTTATCCAGAGCAAAATAACTGGACACGTCTCCAGGTTGCATGTTGTAGGCGATTTGTCCAAATCTGCCAACGTCTCGGTCCGTAGCGATAACAGTACCGAGTTCTGTTCCAGGAGGAGCGTGGCTGCTGATGCTCACTGTGTACTCCTCTGGGCTGAACACCGGTGGGTTGTCGTTCAAGTCTTCGATCTCAATATGAACGTACGCCTGAGCGCTCAGACCCCCCTGAAACAGAGCAAGAGGGAAACCTTTAAGAGCCGAAGGAGAGACAAACTGATTATTGTGTGAATGTTAATTCAGCGTTCTCACTACCGTATTTTTCATTGTATAAGTCACACCTTTTTGCATAAATCTGCATGACCTACGACTTATACAGCGAAGTGACTTATTTATGGTTTTTTTTCCCCATATTTATAACCCAAATTTTGTCTGAGATCTGATGATTTCATTCATTCTGACAGGGAAAATATTGAACACTACCATTTTCAGCCACTAGAGGGTATTCAAGTAAAATGGCAAGCCAAGTGTCTCATTAATAAGTAAAAGTGGCTATTAATGAGACACTTGGCTTGCCATACTGGCCACCTTTGTCTTGCTCCGGAACTCCTGGAGCAAATGTCAAATCAGCTGCATTTCGCTGCGCCGCCCAGGCGAAATGCAGCTGAATTGACCGTTAAAGTGCATTTATTAAGGAAAAATTAAACTGAGACACACCTTTACTATAATTTTGAGCAAACAAATAATTGTTTTTAGGTGTTAATCTTGCTAAATTCTTGTTAAAGTCCTCACGTGCACGCTCACATAGCTGCCATTTTGCGGCCAATGGATATTTGACACAACTCCTGCCCACATTTACAGATGGTCAGCAGTGATGCATAATAGATGTGACTTATATGGTGAAGCAACGTATTTATGTTTTTTCCCACTTTATTAGACATGTTGGACTGATGTGATTTATACGGCGGTGCAACATGTATGGTGGCAAGTAATGTATTGTTTTCCTGTACAGTTTTTGCAATCTAACTGTTGCATGCTTTGTACCAGTGCTTAATTTGTAAACCAGACAATGCCAAGACCTAAATAGTATGCAGGAGTGGGGTTCCTCACCCAGGAAATTTTGAATAAAATAGATGTAATTTCCTGTTTTCTGGTGTATTTTAACGGGTTGTTAAACATCTACGTTTACCTACATTTGAAATCACTTGATTCAGTAACTATTTTAGAGAGCAACAAGAAGTAGCCTGACCAACAGCTCCTCTTGTGTGAATAGAGCATGCTACGCTTCTCTCAAGCATCCTTGCACCTGCTCCAGTATCTCCATTGCCACTGCCTTCACGTGCTTCACTTCTCGGTTGTTTAGTTGTATAATGAAAATCCCCTTTTTTAATGAAAGTAAATTGGACTATTTTGACATTTTGATTGCTGTTATTTTGACAAATTGGCGCCATTGTTTTCTCAAGTGATGTATGTAACGTGATTGCCCATCAAACATTTCTCTCATATTTTTAATAAATAATCAAACATTTATTAATGACTCACTTGAACTGTAAAACTGATTTGCAATTTAGTCATGCTGTTCAGTTATATTTTTATGGTTTTAATTAAATTGCCCATGATTGAACTTTTAGGGACGGATATTTTTTTAAAGGTAGAAGCGGAAATGCTTGAAGGGGCAGCTCTTATGTGATATTAAGAAGCTCATAAATGGTTGTTATGTTTAAAATTAGTGTTTATGTAATTATTTTCAGATTACCCAACGCAGGTTTTATCCATTCAAGGCAATCATATTTGTTCATAACTTGATTATTAGTAAGCCTGAGAGTTACCAGATCCAAGCAAACAGTTAGCGGTTACAAAGAGTTTTTTTTTTTTGTATTGAACAATTTAGAAGTTACCGGAACGCAACCTGTCAAAATAAGAGAGTTCCCGGATGTTGTTCTGGCATGATCCGGCTCAAATTCAGCCCTGCTTTGTACATCAAAACCTTTATTTTATTTGGGATAAATCTGCTTTGACTTTTGATTTTTGCAGCTTTTAAATGTTTCTGAATATTCTACTTTATTTAGGTTACATTTCCTCCTATACATTTAGCTTAAGTTTTGCTATTTGTAGCTTTAGCCTTTTGTTTCTTTAAACATTTATCTATATTTTTGCCGCTAAAGTTTTGTTAATTTTAACTATCACTTTGCTATTTTAATATTTTAGTGTTCTTTGTGCTACAATTAGCCTTTTGCTACGTTCAGTTAGCATTGTATTGCTTTTTGCTTTCAGCTTATACTTTGTTCCCTTTAGCTTTTAGCTCTAGTCCTTTTAGTTTTGCTCAGTTTCTTTTTTTTTTTTTAACCAGATCCCAGCAAAGTCAGTCAGAGCTTAGTGTTCACACTACATTTGAGCAGACAATGCAGTTTCTGTGTTTTTTTTTTAAGGATTTACAGAATTCACTCACTGGATCTTCAGCTTTGACCACAATGTCGTGGACAGTTTGTCCTGATTCTCGATCGATGTCCTGGGAGACACACAGCTCTCCGGTACGTGGTTGGATTTGGAAGAGGGGGTGCTTTTCCTGATTGTCAAAGCCGTCAGACAGAGAGTAGAGCAGAGCGCTGAAGTCTGGGCCGTCTGCGTCCGTGGCAACAACCTGAAGCAAAGACAGACATGGAGATGTCATCATCTAAACATATCATTTTCATCTTCCTCTTGTCTTCATAATAAAAGTAAAATGCTTTTTCTAATTCTTGCAGGATAATCTTTAACTACAAGTTTGGTTTATCTGTGCCTGACGGTTGATTTTGTGTATTATACAGCCATGTGGTGACAGCTTTCAGCCTTTTACTCTGCCTGCTCAGTCGCTGAAGGTCAACACAATAAAAACATAAAACATTTCTGCAATCAGAGGATGAGAACCGTCACCGCAGAGGAGATCAAACTCCTTTCATGTCTGACTTACGACAAGCCGACGTTGCACTGAGAGAGGTTTTATTTTCCAGTCATAAAGACGATAACGCCGCAGAGAGAATGAACTCTGATCGCAGGAAGTTCCACAGAAATCACGCCAAGGTTGGATCAGACAAACCAAACCAAAATCAACGCGAGACAGCTGAAGAAATAACGTCTACAAAATAAGAAGGTGGTCATTTTCCTGTCAAACAGCCAATAAATTTCAAACATTTTTATCGTGAGCAGTGATGGTGAAGCAGCGGTAAAGTTTTTAACCGTGTCTGTTTGTGGCATTAGCAAAATGAATCAGTGAAAGGGGTTTATAGGTAAATGTAACGACTGAATGCAACTCTACAACTGATTCATTTTTGGAGACAATCACATAACTTGGGCACAGCTAATCGACATTAGCCAACATGAAAACAACTGTATTCCAAGTGATTTTACGAATGCTGAAGTTTTGGTGTGGTAGTAGCTGAGAGTCATTCCTAACGCACACTCTGAGCACTATATCAGGGGTTCTCAAGCTTTTTGGGTTCTGGGACCCCTTACAGGGGAGAAAAGTTTCAGGGGCCCCCTCGTGTTTATTATCAGTAAATAATTTTCTTCAATTTGTCGATTTAATGCAATAGAAATATTTGTAACATAAATACTTAAGACCCGCTCTTTAATAGTGTTAATACAATTTTTATACTTTTAAGCATGGAGTATTTTTCATTCAAGACACACTTAATTAACAAAATTTTGAATTTTAACTTCCAAAAATTACAGTTTCGAAAAAATTAACGGTATTAAAAGACACATTAAAACTTTATCTATTCACATAATGAACATAATAAATGTATCGCCACTTCTTCATATTATTACAGAAAACTTTTTACATAAAACTGAACAGAATCAGGGCAGCAGTAGTCAGACCAAGTAACAGAGCTTCATTTGTAAACTAATCAATGCCGGAATGCAAATAGTGGGACAGTGTGTGTGTGTGGGGGGGGGGGGGGGTCCTCCCCCAGAAAATTTTGAATAAAGTAGATGCGATTTCCTGCATTTTGGTGTATTTTAACAGGTTGTTAAACATCTACGTGCTTGCAAAAAAATGTTTTTTTTTGCAGACCCCCATGCACTGGCTCGTGGACGTCTGCGGGTCCGGGAACCCCAGTTTGAGAACCACTGCATTTGTTTTTAAACATTTTAGCAATAACTACTAAGTCAACTGTGTCTGTTAGCAAAATATCTCATGAACCACAGGATGGATTTTAATGAAACTCTCCGAGTATTCAATGAATGGACACCTACAACTGATTACCTTTTAAATTCAAACCAATTTAGAACGTCTTTATCTCAGACAATTTCTTAAATATCGAACTACAATATAGTGTGGTAGTAGCAGAGAGTCATCCTCAACACAATATGTGAGTGCTATTACATCTGGTGCGATGGTCTGACCAAAACAGCTTCAAGTCTCCGTCCCAGAATGCCCCCCTCGGCCAGGATTTGATCTGTCGACCTTCTCGCTGAGAGGCGGCATCTCTACCAACTATACCACCTTGGGACTTTTATACTCATTCAAAACAACACTTAAACATTAGCTTGAAAACAAGGACTATAATAATAAATTTGTGTCTGGAGGAATAGCTGAGTAAAAGAAGGCTTCTATTGTAATGGAGGTGGGGGGGGGGGGGGGGGGGGGGGGGGGGGGGGGGGTAATGTTTGTGCCAGGCTGCAGGAGAATGGCACTGAGCATCACGTCTGTGGAGCTGAGCAGGCTGCATGTCGTGTGTTCACAGGGAACACTGATGTCTCTGTGCAAGCACGCTGAAAAAGACACTTTTGTCTCATGAGATAAACGGCAGACACAGAGCGCAGATGTGACGTGATGCTCGACAGCAGAAGACTGCGGCCCTGCAGGACGGTGGATCTAGGGCCAATATTTGTTCAAGAAAATAGGACGATTTAAGAGATCAATGAATTTCTTGGATTTTGTTGTTTGTCCGTGATCTGACAAACAGGTTGAAACATGCAGTTCCAGTTCGTTAAAAGGTTTTAAACTGACGGATTTACCTTAAACGTGATTACATTAAACTTAAAGTTGAAATTATTTGACAAGATCTCGTTCCGTTGGACGACAAATACAACTCACTGCCAACCACTTCCATATTCAAACCAGAAGTAAATCATTTATAGAAAGTTTAGTGGATTATTCAGAGTAAATAATAAGATGTCTCTAAAAGAAGATGCTGCTGAACTGTCAAATATAAAGATTTTTAACAGCTTGCGGGTACAGCTCAGATCTATAGAAGTGAGGTTTTCGGAAAATATATAAACAATATCTTACCTTTAATAGGTAATATAGAAGATGAAACGATTTTTAAATTAAAAAAAAAAAAAAGCTCTTTGAACAAGCTCAATTTGGAAAAATGGAGTTGAATTCTGCCCGTTTTGACAAATTAATGAATGTTCTGATCAAGACCAAAGAGGGTTTGACTCATCTGAAACAACCTTACGATCAAAACTGTCATATTTAAGTCACAGTTTGATGTTGCACATTTATTTACATGGAATTTTTTTGGTTATTTGCAAGAGCAAATAGCAGCAGCAGCCAGCTGTAGCACGTGCAGTTGGAATATGTAATTTTGTGGCAGAATATCAGCCTGATGTTAAATCACTGGTGATGTAAAAATGTAAAAAAACAACTTGAGCATGAACCACCACAAAACTTTGAGATTAGAGTTGTTTTAAAACAGAAATCCTCTTTGTTCTTGGCCTCAATAGGATGAGCCTTTAGCTCACAGGTGTCCAAATCCGGTCTGTGGGGGAGGGGGGGGGGTCGTTATTTTGTGTTGGAGCAAGAAAACAACTAAAACTTGCAGAACCTTAGCTCATCAACTCCTCCAAACTGAAGCCATGCATTGTGTTTTCTAGAACTTAACTAATTTTTATGTACTGGTTAATACCAAATAAACTTTTTTAATCCCTACTTAAAAGAATCTAATGCCTGGTTGTCATTTTTGATTTGTTTAAAACCAGGGGTTCCAAACCCTGATCCTTGAGGAACACCGTCCTGCATGTTTTAGTTGTTTCTCTGCTCCGACACACCTGATTTTAATTAATGAGTGATTTACAGGCTTCTGCAGAACATGAGGAAGTAATTAAATCATTGAATCAGGGGTGCTGGAGCAGGGAAACAACTAAAACATGCAGGATGGTGTTCCTCAAGGACCAGTGTTGGGAACCACAAATCTTCAAGATATCTTGTGATTTATACAATGGTTGTTGCAGTCAGTTGAGTTCAATTTTCTCCAACATACTTGTAAAAAGCAGCTTCCAACATCGCTGTGCTCGGGTATGGACACGTTGTACAGCTGCTGCTGGAACACCGGCTCGTTGTCGTTCACGTCCTCCACCAGCACTGTGACGGTAGCTGTGGAAGACAGAGCTGGATCCCCTCTATCTGCTGCCAGGACCAAGAAGGACACCTCCGCCTGCCTCTCTCTGTCCAGTGCTACTGCGGTGGTGATCAGGCCCGACTCGGCGTCGAGGCTGATCAGGTTGTCCTGCTGTGATTTCATGATGGAGTACCTGACATCTGAGTTGATGCCTTCATCTGCATCCCGGGCCTGAATCTGGATGAGGGAACTCCCCACAGGAGCATCCTCAGCGATGCTTATAATGTAAGTATTCTTTCCAAAAACTGGGTGGCAGTCATTGTTGTCAGACACTCTCAGAAAGAAACTCTCCTCACTTCTCAGTGGAGGACTTCCTAAATCAGATGCTTGGACCTTCAACTCATAGAGGTCCTTCTCTTCCCTGTCGAGCTCAGAGTTTACGCACAAGGCATACAGGAAGTCGTCCGTTTGCTTCAGGGTAAACTTCCCATCCCCTCCCTCCAGAGTGACAATGACCTTCTCACCCTCAAAGTCCGGGTCTGACACAGAGATCCGAGCAACGTAATCCCCGACTGCTGCCGCCTCAGACACCACAGCGTCTCCTGTCTCACTGAGGAACAGCACGTTGATGGTGGGACTGTTGTCGTTAACGTTCAGCACCCTGACACCCACGAAGGTGCTGCTGAACTCAGGCTGGGATCCATTGTCTCTGGCGCTGATGATCAGCTCGTGAAACGACTGAGCCTCGAAATCGAGCTGCTTGTTCAGATGAACCACGCCAGTGGTTCTGTTGATGGAGAACACATGGTTGGGGTCGCTCTGCCGCCTGTTGATCTCGTAGGTGATTCTGCTGTTGTCCCCCAGGTCAGGGTCAGAGGCGTGCACCTGACAGATGACAGACCCCGTGGGAGCATCCTCGCCCACTGAGGTGTGGTACTCAGTCTGGCTGAACACAGGAGGGTTGTCGTTCTCATCCAGGATGCGGACGTTCACCTGCAGGGTGCCTGTCCTGGCTGGGACTCCCCCATCGAAGGCCTCTATTGTCAGAACGTAGACGTCCTGCGTTTCTCTGTCTACTTTATTTTTCAGAATGAGATCCAGGTCCTCGGATCCACTGTGGTAATCCAGCTGGAACAGCTCAGCCATTTGCATCTCCATGACCCTGTACCCCTGAGTACCAAACTCTCCTTCATCCTGGTCCTTGGCACCTACAAGTTGAAACCGGCTCCCCAGCGGGCTTAACTCTGATATCTCCAACAGCACCTCCTCAGTGGGAAACACAGGTGAGTGGTCGTTCACATCTTCCACCTCCAGCCTCACTCTGATCATCTCCCCGGTGAGGGTGGCTGCCACAAACTCATACCTGTCCCTGCGCTCCCTGTCCAGGACCACAGCCGTGGAGATGATGCCCCTGTCTGCGTCTATCTCCAGGTCCCTGAGCACATACGAGTCTCTGCTCTCTGAGATGAAGAACCCGGTGCTGGGTCTGGTTAAAACCGCGCCCAGATCTCCTACGATGGTTTTAGCGGGCAACCCCTCTTTGACGGAGAGCGACAGGTGGAACACCTGCCCGAGAGACTGCGCGCACAGCAGCGCGAGGACGAGCGGACACAGGACATTCTGGGGAGCCATTCCTCCTTTACGCACGGCTCCGGTGCGCTGGTTTGAAGACTTTAAGGTCTGACCACATCTCCTCTGTATTAAAAACAGACTTCCCAATCAGGTTCAAGCCATTTAAAAAACAAAAGCGGTCAAATCGAGCAAGCTTGCGCGCGGAATTGTTTGTAAGATCTGAAAACCCAGACACCATTCAAGCAAAATCCCCCTGGAGTCTTCGTCTGTCACGCAGAAGCACAACATGGCACCTCCAAGTGCCAAACGCGCACTGCACGCTCCTCCTCAAAGTCCACCCCCACAGCCTGACCCGCTCCATCTGTGGCCCTGATTAGTTTGGATGTAATTAGGACAGATTTAGTCCTGCATGTTGGACAGGTGGCGCGTCATGTCTGACCTGCTGAAGATCAAAATGATCCTGAGAGCAGAGGGAACGGGTTCAAGCGCACGAGAAGAGATTTAAACTGAGGTGAAGAACAGGAGACAAATAAACATGAAGCGGCTTAACGAGCCTTCAGCTCAAAAAGTGTCGAAATGGCTCCCTCTGCTGGTGATTAATGAAAACTGCAACACCCACAATTACATCTGTTGAACAGTACTTATCAATAAAATAGTCATCTAGACGGTTCTTGTGCGCTTTGGTTTTGTTTTGGAGTTTAGAGGGAAGTCTAGATATGTGAAGGTTACATTTATTTACATACTGCATCACATCTGGATGTCCTAAATTGTTGTATACACTGCAAACACACTCCTGCATAAAAGACTGAGGAAAAATTCTGAGTAGGAAAAGCTAAAAATGTTTGTGTGTGTATTTATATGAATTTACACATATATGCACACACATCTACATGTATACACTTGACTTTTAACCAACAGGGTTTAAAAGTGATGCAAAAAGGGTTTTAAACAAACTTAAATTGTTCAAGGCTCTGATCAGCTGTGATAATAAGAGATCAGTTATTAAATTTGGCTCATCTGCACCGATTGAGGGAAGAAGATTCAAACCTGTTCCATGTTTTTTGTCAGGACAACAAAACATTTTAGCCATTTGTATTTTAAATAAACCTCCTGCTCTGTGGTATACAGTGGGGAAAATAAGTATTTTATATGCTGATGATTTTGCAAGTTTTACCACCTACAAAGGAAGAGGTCTGTATCCTGATGCATGCTCAATAATCCAGGTAGAAAAATCCAAAAAAGTTAAGCCTGGTCCTCTGGGCATTCAAAAAAACAAAACAAAATAAAGTAGAAACGTTTGTAAGAGGTCTGTAACTTTTATTGTAGGTTCACTTCAACTGTGAGAGACAGAATCTAAAAAAAAATCCAGAAAATCACATTGGATGATTTTTAAATAAATCATTTTATTGCATGAAATAAGTATTTGATCACGGACCAACCAGCAAGAAGACCTCCTATTCTGCACTCATTCCCTGCATTAACTGCACCTCGTTACCTGTATAAGACCCTGTTCACACACTCAATCACTCACACTCAGGTGACGTGCCAGGGCTTCGCCGGGCCTGTGATGTGAGGTTGTTGTGGTGCCTGGTCCTTGGTGTGCTGGACCGGTCTTCCTCAGCTGCTGCTCCGGCCCCCAGCCTGGGGTCGTTGCCGGCAGTGGCAGTCCTAGCCTATTTGGCGCCCTGGGCGAGCAACCCCAACGGCGCCAGATGCAACCCCAGAGGCTCTGTCAGGTTGTCTGTGTGTGCTTATTTATGTCTCAGGTTGGGTTTTGGGTGGTCCTCTCTCGGATCAATTTGAACCCCCCATTTAATGTGGGGTCTACTTCCCCGTTGCACTCCCCTCCGGTGGCAGCCCCCCTGCCGCCGGTGCATTGGCGGCTCTTGGCATCTGGGGCTGGGTGATGGGGTGTGTGCCAGCCCGCCCTGGTGGCTGCCTGCCGGGGCCTGGGTGCCCTGGGTCTGTCAGGCCTCTGTTGGGGTTTGGTATGACCTCGGGACTCAGTGTCCATGGCCAGATCTACTCTGGAGTAGCGGGTTACTGGCGGGGCCTGTGGACTCGTCGCTGCAGCCTCCTGGGGGGCTCTACATACTGGTTGCTGGGGATTGCCCGGGGCTTCTCTCTGTGGGGCTGCTGTTGTCCCCGTTGACTCCTGGGCCGCTGTGTGTCTGTGGCTCTGGTATTCCCTGTTACCATTGTGTCCTGTGGGGACGGGTCTGTGGGTCCCCACATCCACTATTGAACATTTTTATGGAGAAACCTTATTGTGACAAGCATGCTCACACAGGTGTTTAGATCCAGGTGTTTATCAGATACACACTCGGTTGGGTTGTGGTGGCCACTAAATATATCTTGTATTACCATGTACTGTATAAAATACTTTCTAATGATGTTATAAGTATCATTATATATGTTTGTTGTTGTGGTTTCGCAGTTTTGTCTTTTTTCTTTCCGCGGGTCGAGGCAGATTTCAATGTTTGTTCTTTTAATCCCTCTCTCTCTCCTCTATTCCCATCTCCTTCTTTCCATTTTAACCCTTCTCTCACTTTTTTGCCTTTGTTTTCTGTCCCCATGTCCATTACATCTGAAACAAACCCAAAGCAAATTCTAATAAAATTTAATTTATATATCAAGCAGAGCATTAAGGCCAGCCATAATGCTCTGCTTGTGAAAGTAAATCTGTTGGGATCACTTTGACAATAATTCAGAGTGTCACAATGCTGGACAGGACAAGACAGAAAAAAAAAAAAAATCACTCCAACATCTCCACTGTGGCCAAATGTTTTTTTCATTCATTGAACCCGATTCATCAAACTAGTGCCCTGAATCTAATTGTAATTTTAAAACATTATGATTTTCTCTTGCCAAATGTTTTGTTTTTTGTTTTAACCACCAGAGATTTGGAAAGAAAAATTTAGTCAAATGTAAATGTGTTGCTGAAACCTAATTTCAAAAGAACTCGTCTAAAATCAAACCTGGACCGGATCAAACAGAGAGGTGTTTTCACGACGACCTCATAGGCGATCAGATATTTGAGCTGCGGACAGAGTCTCACCTGACCTCTGAGACACTCGACTTATGGCTGTAAACACACCACCACCAGAAGTGCCAAATAAAACATTTACTTTATGCAAACAAACACAACGTATATAAATGACGTGGTCTTTATTAAAATGGAGCATAATAATCCTCACCTTTTAAATGGGAACAAAAGTTGTTTGTTTTTATGTCTGTACAGATTCTACTACAGCAACACGAACTGTATTTTCTCTGCTGCCAGTAAGAATGAAGTCTGAATCTACACGGTGGATCAGAACGACAAGAGCCATCAGAGAGAAGCAGTCATCAAGAGAAACCCTCTGAGAAGGTGCTGGCAGCTTCACCTTACAGAACTGAAGTCGCACAACGAGGACTGGTTTTTAGAAAAAAAAAAAAAGAAGTAACAACTAAAACCTGCTGGTTGAGTGAACAGCAGAAACACACACACAAAAAAATGCAGCTGTGACAAGAACACACGTTTCAGAATCTTTTTCTCTTAAGGATTTCTGGTTTCCAGTTGACGGGGTGGGTCTCTTCGGTCTAAAACAAAACAAGAAAACAACTCATTAACTTCGTTACCTGGAAATCAACACAGAAGCAGATGTGAACGCAGAGTGAAGACTTACAGCCATGTCGTCCTCTTTGTAAACTTTAATGGTCTTGTCGGCCTCGGCGGTGATCAGTCGGCTCTCGGAGTTGTCAAACACGCAGGCGAAGATTCCCGACTCGCTGTCCAGAGACCCGGGCTGCACAGCTGCGTGAATCCGCTGGAAGTTGTAGCCCGTCCTCCAGTCCCACATGTGCATGGTTCCATTGTCGGCTGGAGTGAAATCAACACGAGAAAGAATGAGCTCCATGTGCATCTGAATGAATGAGGTGATGAGCTGAGACCAGCTATAAGACACACTGATTACCTCCAGACACTAACACTCCATCAGAGTTCACTGCGAGAGTGTTGATAATGGCGTTATGACCCGACAGGTTTTGGATAAAGCTGCCGTCTGGAAACTTCCACTGCTTGATGTTATCAGCTGATCCTGAGGCAAACGTGTATCTAAAACACGAGAACAAAACCTCAGAGATATCACAAGAACTGCACCCCTAATGTCCAGGCGATAAAATAAAGCCCCACATAAAGTCTTTATGCTGCTCATTTTGTTTCTGATTGTCCAGGTAGCAGTTTATTTTCTACCAAAATCTAAATGTTGTTTTGTTTTTTGTGTTTTTTTAGGAAGCAGCTTTGCGTCGTTTCTGCAACAAGCACACACTGAAAACATCGCTGTCTGGATGTCAAGTCAAGCCAAATTTATTTATAAACCATATTTAAAAACAGCAGCTGTTACCAAAAGTGCCTAACAATAAAATGAAAGACGATGTTTCCTCAGGATAGGCCCCAAAGAGAGCAGACAGAATGAAAACAGAAGGGATCCAAGAATAGAGCCCTGTGGAACCCCGCAGGAAAGAGGCACTGAACCAATGTGTGGACTTACTGTCTGGGGTGCAGCACCAGAGTTCGCACAGACTTCTTGTGGTTTGTCAGAGTTGCTCTGGTCTTTCCGGCAATCAGATCCCACAGTCTGATGGTTGCATCATGGCTGCCTGGAGAAAAACAAACAAAAAAGCATCAATGTAACGATTATTAACAGTGAGACAAGTCGCCGGTTGCAACTTTACAGTCAACATAATCTTCTTTAAGAGCTACAGCACAAAATTGTGATAGGTTTTTTTTTT